ATTCGATGACCTGTAATTGTGTAGCTGAAGTAACTGTTTTGAAAACAACAAAGGGCCAATTGCTATCATGAATGTAAGAATAAAGGTAACAAGTATTTAGACCAGGTTAAAAACTTTTGTTGCCGCCGATTAAAACGTTGTAAAATATTATGTTGTTGATTTAATTATAATTAATTTGTCTCCCGTGCAGTCCTATTTACTATCTACAGAATTCTATGAACGAAAGTAGCATGCGGACGGTATTGATATTGTGTGATAAACTTTGAAGATCACTGACAATCATTCGAGTAACCGAGTACTAGATCGGAAAAATGACCGAGTACTCGAGTATTGATTTTGATATTCGTTGCCATCCCTATAAATTAGTGCCATTGCATATCTGTCCGGACACATGGTGCTGCAGTGTGGACAATTTTGGTAATTTTGAAACCCTCCTTGATGGGCCTCAGATATAAGTGTCAATATAAAAAAAAGATTATAATCAAAAATAAACAAAGTTGTTTGTTAGTTAGAAGAACCTAGCTGTACTGTGTCAAAATCTCAGATCTCTAGCTTTCAATTATTTTCTGTAAGGAAAAATGTTCAAAAAGTGTCAGGTTGATGGTCCCCGACCAGTAGTTGTTTTGAAGAATAGTGATGTAAACAACACTTATAAACGTAACTCTATAGTGATAGTGACCATTATTTATGATCCTGCATGCATGTATGAAGTTTAAAGTGAATACCTTTAGTTGTTTTGAAGAATAATGTTGTAAGCAACACTTATTTACGTTCAAATACTAATAGGACCATAATTTAGTCAAAATCCATGCTAGAGTTACGGGCCTTGGATAGTGACCTTTATTTATGATCCTGCAAACATGTATGAAGTTTAAAGAGAAAACCTTTAGTTGTTTTGAAGTATAATGTTGAAAGCAACACTTATTAACGTTTAAATAGAACCATAATTTAGTCAAAATCCATGCTAGAGTTACGGGCCTTGAAAGTGACCTTTATTTATGATCCTGCAAACATGTATGAAGTTTAAAGAGAAAACCTTTAGTTGTTTTGAAGAATAATGTTGTAAGAAACACTTATAAATGTTCACAAAGGACCATCATTTAGTCAAAATTCATGCTAGAGTTACAGGCCTTGGATAGTGACCATTATTTATGATCCTGCAAACATGTATGAAGTTTAAAGTGAATACCTTTAGTTGTTTTGAAGAATAATGTTGTAAGCAACACTTATTAACGTTCAAATAGGACCATAATTTAGTCAAAATCCATGCTAGAGTTACAGCTTTGGAAAGTGACCTTTATTTCATCGTCGGATACCCATGGCCGAACCATTATCATTCATCAGCATGTTATGTGACATGTTTATCAATCGTGGGTATCCGACGATGCCTTTATTTATGATCCTGCAAACATGAATGAAGTTTAAAGTTGATAGTCCTTTAGTTGTTTTGAAGAATAATGTTGTAAGAAACACTTATAAATGTTCAAAAAGGACCATAATTCAGTCAAAATCCATGCTAGAGTTACAGGCCTTGGAAATTGACTATAAAAGATGCATTAAGTTTCAAGTGAATACCTTGAGTTGTTTTGAAGATTGAAGTTGCAAGCAAAACTTATACCAAGGATTTTTTAAGTTCAAAAAGGGCTATAATTCTGTTAAATTCCATGCTAGAGTTACGGGCCTTGAAAGTGACCTTTATTTATGATCCTGCAAACATGAATGAAGTTTAAAGAGAAAACCTTTAGTTGTTTTGAAGAATAATGTTGTAAGCAACACTTATAAACGTTCAAATAGGACCATAATTTAGTTAAAATCCATGCTAGAGTTACGGCCTTGGATAGTGACCCTTTTTTATGATCCTGCAAACATGAATGAAGTTTAAAGTTGATAGTCCTTTAGTTGTTTCGAAGAAAAATGTTGTAAGAAACACTTATAAATGTTCACAAAGGACCATCATTTAGTCAAAATCCATGCTAGAGTTACGGGCCTTGGATAGTGACCTTATAATATGCTCTTAAATGAGTGTGTGAAGTACAAGCAAATATCGTAAGTGGTTCATGGGATATGATATTGCACGTAAAACTGTAACCAAATTATTACACCAATTCTGACATCCGGGTGAGTAGGATAGTCCTACTAGAATTGGAATGGTCAAGCTTGAGATAAATCTGTTAAAATATAATTATAAGCTACCTTTGAATTAAAAAACACTGTCCCAGTATTTTTATCAATCAAGAATTACAAAATTATACATTCTAAAGGATTTCTATAGAGTTTTTAATGAAATATGATAGACAAGATCAACAAGGAAAGGCGGCGTTCAATGAACGCAACCCCCACATGACCCAGCAACAAGAACTAGCAGCAAGGAGCCCAGGAGGACCCGTCATGTGGGTTAGTTAATATCTGGATAATTTGGGAAGTCATGTACATAATTAAAAACAATTATGGCAAAATGAAAAGTTTTCTTGACTTTGCCTTGTGAACTCAAATAAATGGGCATAATATCACTATAATTTTCCTTCCTTATCGTCATGTAATAAGGGGTATGATCTGAATTTTGGCTAGACTGAATTGTATGGGTCTTTTTATAGAGTAAGTTACTCCCAAACTGTGTCTATGGAAGTAAATGATTATGAACAGACCATGATGTTTTTTGCATAAGTTGTTCATTTTGTGTTAAAAAGTGTTTTATGAATATACAAGATATGTCATAGTTTGTCCTAGGGGGGCATCAAAAGTTATTTTTGTCCAAGGGAGGGCTATTTCATTTTTACTAGGATGTCCAAGGGGTCTTTATTAACTATTATACCCTATTGAACAATCTTACTAAAGCTCAGATCTTACTTTCTTTTTTACATGTAGATCTGATTTCCACTGTATTTTGTTTTGCAGTCATTGTGAAAATGGATTTCCCAAGAATTTAGGCTATTATTAGCTATTATTAACAATGCAATCCATGTATTTTTGTTAGAAAAAGAATGTTTGAAAAGTAATATGAAACAGTAAACTGAAAATAATAGACTCAATTTTTAATGGTCAATATTGTTTTGGCAGTTTAACAGGGGTCTGCAAGGCTATATGCAACATCGCCATGTTTGATGTTTGTTTTCCCCCAAATCGCTCCCAAAATTGATTTTCCAGCAGATAAAAAAAGAAATTACATTGCTTTAAGATTCTGAAAGCTTCGCCGCTTGATTGCCTGTTTTTAAAAGGACTACGAGAAGGTGACAAAACCTATTGCTGATAATCAGATCCTAAAGCGTTGACATATGGCAGATGTCGTAGGGGTTTAATTTGGTAGTTTGTCCAAGGGGTTTGGGGGATATATTTAAATTTTTTGTCCAAGGGCGGTCATTTTGATCAAAGTCTCTACTATAGAGTGTCCAGGTGGGGGGTCTATATAAGTGTTATACCTTATGGAAGATGTCCTAGGGGGTCAATTTCAGTAGTTTGCTCCGAGGGTGGATATTGAATGTTTTTTGTCCAAAAGGGGGGCTTATTTGGAGCAACGTTCTGTCCATAGGGTGTCATGGGGGGTCTATATAAGTGTTATACCTTATGGAAGATGTCCTAGGGGGTTCAAATTTCAGGAGCTTGTCCGAGGGTGGATATTGAATGTTTTTGTCCAAGGGGGCTTATTTGGAGCAGACGTCTCTTCCATAGGTTGTCCAGGGGGTCTTTTTAATTATAAGTAATATACCTATGGAAGATTGTCCTAGAGGGTCAATTCTAGTAGCTTGTCCGAGGGTGGATATTGAATGTTTTTGTCCAAGGGGGCTTATTTTGGAGCAGACGTCTCTTTCCATAGGGTGTCATGGGGGGTCTATATAAGTGTTATACCTTATGGAAGATGTCCTAGGGGGTCAATTTCAGGAGCTTGTCCGAGGGTGGATATTGAATGTTTTTGTCCAAGGGGGCTTATTTGGAGCAGACGTCTCTTCCATAGGTTGTCCAGGGGGTCTATTATTATTAGTAATATACCTATGGAAGATGTCCTAGGGGGTCAATTTTAGTAGCTTGTCCGAGGGTGGATATTGAATGTTTTTGTCCAAGGGGGCTTATTTGGAGCAGACGTCTCTTCCATAGGGTGTCCAGGGGGGTCTATATAAGTGTTATACCTTATGGAAGATGTCCTAGGGGGTCAATTTCAGGAGCTTGTCCGAGGGTGGATATTGAATGTTTTTGTCCAAGGGGACTTATTTGGAGCAGACGTCTCTTCCATAGGTTGTCCAGGGGGTCTATTTTTATTAGTAATATACCTATGGAAGATGTCCTAGGGGGTCAATTTCAGCAGTTTGTCAATGGGCGATATTGAACATTTTTGTCCGAGGGGGGTTATTTTGAGCAAAAGTCTCTTCCATAGGTTGTCCAAGGGCGGCATTTCAATCAAAAGTCTCTTCCATAGGTTGTCTATTGTATTATTTTTGGCAAAATCTTTTACAGTAAAGGTCGTCCAAGGGGGTCATTTTGAGTAAAACTGTTTACATTATGTTGTCCAAGGGGGTACCTTCGAGTGTTTGTCCTAGGGGGGGTATTTTCGTCTCAGACCTCTTCCATAGGGGGGGTGCGGATATTTTCTGGAATAGCCCATTGTACATAAAAATTTACTGCAACCAATCAGAATTGCCGAATTTAGGTGACATTTTCAGATCGTAGTAAGATTTTACATCAGCCATATTTGTTTATATTTGACAACCACTGAACGATAATACGATATTTGACAACCACTGAACGATGTACACAATTAAAGATTTTAGGTGACATTTGTACAAAATACAAAGGCAATTAATTGAAGATTATGTCATCTTGTATTGAATGGTAATGATCTTACAAACGTAAAACCAATACAACTGATTATTCTTTTTTCACAACATCTGCCATATTCTTAGATTCTTATATCTAAATAATTAAATTGAACACTTGAACAGTTGAATTAGATGACAGTCGAGATAGATCAAATTAGAATCTATCATAAACTGATAAAATGCACAAATCACCTGTTATATGCTTTTTTCTTTCTGAATACACTTTTCTCCAATACTGTGAAAAATACTTTGAAGAAAATGTAAACTGTCTTTTAGATTCAATTATGCATTGCCTACAAATTTTTATTTTAGTCAAACTAGTTCGTCCGAAAAAATTAGCAGACGCCATGACCGGTGTCGATGTAAAATAAATTTTCTGTGAGTTTGAAATCCGAGTTTGGAGCACCACACTAAATACTGTATTCCGGTATATACCGGACACGGCGCTTGAATGATAAAATGCTAAAATCTTGCCTTCTGGTCTCAACCCGGTACGGAATTAGACCCAGCCCGTTGTAGTCTAGAAAGTAGTTCTTTTAAATTATGAAATGGCCTATTTCAAGTCATCTTAATTGATACTGGTTATATTTTAAGTATATCTTTAGTAATTGTGTACAATAAAGTTTCATTTCTGAGTACTTTAAAGGTTGTTTTTGATGTATTTTTTGCAGAGGATTTTCATTTCTGGGTGGAAGGTTTCAGCAGGCACTATGCACAAGAATACACACCAGTTACTATTTGGAATAATCTATAGTGATTACAGAAATTTAAAAAGCTGCAGAAAAACTCCAAGGGCTAATGTATTATTTTTTGTGCTGAATTTACTAGGACTTTGCATTGTTGTTTTAAAGAAAATGGTCATGAAGTTTCGGTACCGGATTTGATTTTTTTGTGCAGAATTTAGCCTTAAATGTAATGGATTTACTATAGGATATATGGGTCGAAAAATTCAGTTGGGCCGTCTCCTTCTTTTGAGATAATCAGGCATGAAAGCCTTTACGCTGGCCTTAAGCGCTCTACCTACTGAGCTAACTTTTACTGGCCTCGTGCTCTACTACTAGCTAACTTTTACTGGCCTTGGCGCTCTACCTACTGAGCTAACTTTACTGTCGCTCGGCTCTTACCTACTACTGAGCTAACTTTTACTGGCCATTTTCTTGCGTCTTCTACCCTACTGACTGCTAACTTTACTGGCCTTGCGCTCTACCTACTGAGCTAACTTTACTGGCCTTGCGCTCTACCTACTGAGCTAACTTTACTGGCCTTGCGCTCTACCTACTGAGCTAACTTTACTGGCCTTGCGCTCTACCTACTGAGCTAACTTTACTGGCCTTGCGCTCTACCTACTGAGCTAACTTTACTGGCCTCGCGCTCTACCTACTGAGCTAACTTTTACTGGCCTCGTGCTTTACCTACTGAACTTACTTTACTGGCCGCATGCTCTACCTACTGGGAGTAGGTAACTTATTTTACTTGCCTTGCGCTCTACTTAATGAGCTAACAAGGGATGCAGAATTTACTGTTTTGTAAGTTACATATAGTATAACCATACTTAGGAAAGGGAGGAAAAACAACAGAAGTGCTAAAATTTAAATAAATTAAATTTTTATTAAATAATATTTAAAGTCAATTTACAGAAACAATGGCTAAATAATGTAGAAAAAAAATGAAATGTATGAATAAAGAACGCACCTTGCATTTTTTTCGAATCTAAAGCAGCAGGAGTGAACAAAATTTGTCCTAATAAACAGTTTGTGATTAATTGACAATAAGCAAATAATTTTCATTTTGTTCTTTACAATATTGATTTGTGGAAGACAATATACAAAATAATTATGTATACAAAACAAGAAAATAGACAAGAGATATCTCGGTGCTTCTTGTCAAAGAAGAGCCTCTTGGTAAAATTAAAATGTTTAGATATTTTTTTACATTATAAAAGGGTATATACTCTGTCAAATATCTAAGTGAGAAGTTATGAGGCCTGAAACAGTGACCTCCAATAATGCCCCCTTTAAAATAGTCATTTCTAAAAAGAACAGTTAATCTATTCTTTATGATTGATAAAAAAATAATCAGGATATCTTGCATATCAGACAGGATTAATCTACCGTTTTACACCCGGTGCATAGAAGAACCTTGTATTAACCCCCATCGTAAGAACAGTCGCGCTGAATTGATCCGTTTTTGTAATTTCTGTTCTATAGAAATAATTGTATGGTAATATGCAAGAAAAAGAATCAAACACCGGCTGTCGGTACAGGACTGGGAAATTAGCTCTCGTGTGACTTGTTTTACCGGAGAACCTCGCAGAGCCTCGTTACCCCGTTGGCGCGTAAACAGTCAACCCTCGTGGGCTAGATATTCCGGTCCCCGTACCGGCAGTGGTGTAAGATTCTTATATTCTTGCATCTCAGACGGAAAATTATCCCCCGTTTTTTTCCCGGGGTAGAAAACTCTGTCTTCACCCCTTTTTAAGAAAGTCGCGGCCCTTAAAAGAGGCATTGACGCGGGGCCTTTTTTATGAATGAATTGCATTTTAAGATGACGTCTTTTTTCCTTATGAATGAGTTTATGTTCATACGCTACTAAAAAAAAAGTGCGTAAAGAGAATATAGTTTTCATAATTTCTGTTCCGAAAAAAATTAAATGTAAAAATGAAGAAAAAAATCAAAAACCCCGGGTGCCGGTACAGACGGGGAAAAATTTTAGGCTCTCGGGTAACTGTTTAGCGGAAAATCCGGCAGAGCCCCCGTTACCGCTTAAACAGTTTTCCCTTGGGTAGAAATTCCGGTCTTACGCAGCCGGTGTAAAATTCTTATTGACCTAAGTAAATTTTTGGAATTTCATGTAATATTTTTTCTATGACGTGAAAGGAACCGAGTTATTTTCGCTGGTAAAATTTAATATCAAACTTTGCCAACATAATGGCAGCATGGGAAAATTAAGTTTGGGCCCAAAACATTGACAAAGCAGTAAGTAAAGTTGAGCCAAAAAAATGATAGCATGGTTAAGTTAGCCCAAAAATTGACAACGCGTAAATAAAGTTGGGGCCAAAAACAATGATAGCATGTTAAATGAGCCAACCTTGAGAACACAGTAAGTAAGTTGAGCCAAAAAAAATGACAGATGGTTAAGTTTTAGCCACACTTGACAACACAGAAAAAGTTTAGCCAAACAATGACAATGGTTTAAATTTCAAAAACATTGACAACGCAGTAATAAAGTTGACCAACAAATAGATGGTTAATTGCGCCAACACAATTTTTCAAACGTAAGTTAAATTGAGCCAAAATAAGAAGAATGGGTTTGGATTTTTGCCATGAACAATTTTGGGCCCGGGTTTGCTTTTTTCATTTGGGGAAAACATAAATTAAAATATATTCTAAAATATAAATAAAAAAGTTTGTGTTTCTACAATGATTTTTTTTTATCCATATTTTGTGCATCTATTTGCCTTCTTTATAAATTGTTATAATTAAAAGTTCTTTTATAAAAAAATTCCCAAAAATCTTCAATTTTATAATCAGTAAGTATATTTCGATTTAGAAAAATTCAATTCAGACATAAAGGCATATTTATTTATATTCCTAATAACAAAAAACATTTAAAAAAATTTTTAAAAATTTTCACAAAAAATTTTTTTTTTTATTATACAAAACGTATCAAACAAAAGCTTTTTTTCTCTTTTTTGATTCAAAATATAGAAATTTTCTTTTAAAGATTAAAAATTTAAAACAAAGGGGAAGAAGATTTTAAAATCATACAAATTGGGTAAATTTTTTTAAAATTTGCTTTTTTAATTTCAAAATCGCAATTTATCTTTTTGAAAATAACAAAATAAAATTTCTTGAAAACATTAAAAATAAATTTAAAGATGTTTTATTTTTCCCCCATCATACTGAGCAGAGGTAGCTATATATTTTTAAAAATTTTTCCCTTTTACGAGGGTTGTTTAAAAAATTTGTGCACTGCAGTTTTTTTTGTGGAAGTTTTAAAAAAAACAACATGAATTAAATTTTTTCATTTTAAGGAAAAAAACTCTCTAAAAAAAAAAAACAAAAGAAAAAGCTGGTAAAACCCGGCCCCTTTTGTGTAAAAGAAAGTTCATTTTAATTACCTTAAATAACGTAAAAACCGGCGCAAAGACAAAAAATTTGGGTTAAATTTAATTACTGTAATTGGGAAATTTTTGTTTGGGTTGCTTTTAAAAAATGGCAATTTGCTTTTTTTTTATTAATTTTATTTTCTGTCAAAGGGGATGAAATTTATGAAAGTTTTTTTATTTTTTTTTTGTTTTTTTTGGGAACGTAAATGTTAAAAATATTTCACGGTGCATGAAATATTGGACAAACCCCCGTCACAAATTTTCCGGCATACGGACGGGCGTTTTAACCCGACCGGGTTTATCGGTTTACCGACTCTCGCCATTTTTACCCGAGGTTTTTTGGCCCCTTTAAAAACCGCATTCTTTTAAAACAAACTTGTCCCCCTTCCCTTTTTAAATTCTTTTTTAGGGATTCTGTTGGGGTTTTACCAAATATTTTCACAAAAATTAAAAGACGTTCCCTATTTCCAGACGTTTGGGGCTGGCCCTTTTACGTAAATTTCAGTATTGACGACCAAAACCCCAAATGTTTGTTTACGGGCCTTTTCAAAGGGCAAATGATGTCAAATTTTATATTGCCGTTTAAAAAAATGACACACACATTCCCTAAATATTTAACTTATATTTAGTGGTTTAGAGCCACAACGAATACCTTGCATAAAATAATGAACTAACCCAATTTTTGTAGTGCGGGGGCTTTTTTTAAAATTTATCAAGGGAACTTTTATGACATTTTTATTTTTAAAGGGCATTGGCCGGTTAAAGTTTTTTTCTTTTGTTATTTCCCAAATTTGGGGGGCAAAATTTTTCCCCCCCAATGAAAATAAAAATTCATGTTTTTCTATCAAAGACTCTCACAAAAAATAACTGGGAGTGCACGAAAATTTTTTTAAAACCCCCGGGATTATTTGTTTATTGACTCATTATAGAAAATTTTTCAAAAGTTTTTGGTTAAAAATTTAAAAATGGCTTAAAAAAGTCTTCCCAATTTTTAAAACTTTTTACTTTTAAAATTGGGAAAGGAAAAACTAGTCCCCTGAAATTTAAAAATATACTGAAAAAATTCCATTTATTTACCTGGGGTTTTCATGCAAAAAAAAGAATATAAAATTGAAACAAACAAATTGGGAAAATTTTAAAATTATTTGACATTTTATTAAAACCCCCAAAATTAAAACTGGGGACACATTGGCCCTTTTTATCAGTTTTATACATTGCAATTAAAATTTCATTTAAAAAGTTTTTCAATTTTTATTTTTTTAAAATTTTACAT